CTCATTGCGTAGATTGCCGTAACAAGCGTGTAAAACAGACCGTTTGGTTCCTTTTAACGCCACTTGTGTGTGCTTCCAATGGTTGTCAATCTCATCGTCTACCCAGAGTGGAGGTGTTGAAGAAGAAAATGAGTCGCTGTTTGTATGACATGGAGCTTCCGGAACACACAATTTGTCGCTAATTATGCCTTGAATTGATCCCAGGAAGGTCGAGGAAAAACTCATTATGATGATTTAAATATAATTAAAAGATGGAAGGGTACCATTATCTCGCACAAATATACTGATAATGCCTACATCACAGGTAAATATAATTATTTCCACTAATCAAACATCTTGTGATGTAAACGTATAATATAGCTTCCCGTCAAGTAAGATCAGTTCAGTACAAGTATCGTACCCAACGATATTATAGGAAGTAACTTACATGTATATACGAGATGCTTGAGGGTACTGGTAAATTCTATGTGATAAAAGTCAGTCATTTCGAAGGAAATCCTGTTCTGGCACAAATTAGTCAAGAGAGTTTGAACGTTATTACGCAATAAGTTACTCTATTGTCACATGCAATCTCTATAAATGTTCAGGTACATGACTCTTGTTGCATGGTGGTGCATTTTTATTATACTATAATCGTGATAAAGTTGTCATGTTATTCGTATGTTTATACTTTGAAAACGCCAATTACCTTTATGCTTCGTAAATTTCATTTTGAAAGTGTCGACCGTGTCCATTAACTTTGAACAAGGTTCACAAATCTGCAGCCATGTCGTTCACATGTATATCAATGATTCAGTACCAACATTAACAGACGTTATGATATTGTGAGGTTGACTTGACTTGAGTTGTAGGCAAAGAAATGTACTTATCAGCACATATGGTTGTATTCGTCATTATGTCGTTTCTCAGAAAGCTATCAGTAATTTACTACTGTACGTGTTGGGAGAGAAAGAGACCCTGGTCACTTCTCTTTAGTAGGAGCGCAGCAGTTGCGATGCATCAACTCCGGGAAATTGCTCTCTTGGGCGGCTTGGTCCGGGCGTCGCAATATTGCAACGTCTGCTGCCAAAGGAAAAAAAATATCCCGCAGACTCACAAATCTTTCCTATCGGCTATTTGGCGCATTAGGACGCCGCAGTAAGTCACACAGACATAAAGAGAGGTGAATCTAATACTCAGAAACATAAAGTAGCCCCTTTGACACCATCCTTAGCATTATCTGGGTGTAGCCCTGAAGGCGGTTTGGGCCTTGGTGACTGTTTATCTGCAACCTTAAGGACACTTCCTGTTAACGTAAGTTGCCTGTAGTTTGTGATATAAATGGCTCTTAACTTGAGAAACGCTGCAGGGTAAGGTAATATATTTTACAGTCCAGCCATGTTGTGCCCCTAAATTTGCACATCATCACCAGGTGCGTTATAAGCCATACGTCACGCCTCTGGGCTAGGGAACGTGATGCTTGTTTTATGTAGGATTTGATTTATTAATCTGTATATAAACTTACATTTCAAACCATAATTTTCCAAACCATTTACCGTTGATTGGGACTACCACAATTGGAATGCACAGATATAACAAACGATAAAATGATTAAAATCTTATACATTTAAGAAAAACAATGGCACCGTTCAAAAATATTGTGAATGAAGTTTACTACTAAAAGATACACATATGTTGCTAAACTGAGTATTTAATGTGAATGCTGTGGGGATTTTGCAATGGGCCAACGACTTACATAACATCCTGCATCATTCGTAAGTACATGGACTACATTGTACAATATAACGTACTTCTACGTCTGTTATCGTACATGTTACGTGCAAAGTATAATTATTGGTCACGATGCCTGACTTCATAGTTCTGGTGGTGACTTTTCACTGCAAATTGTTTTGCGTGCTTTTCTCCCAAGCAAACGTACACAGTACTAATCCATATGCATGCAACGTGTTGATACAGAAATTAGCCAAATCATTTTTACTTTCCGACCGACGGGCTTGCACGCCCCAATTCCCCCTAATCACCGTATGCATGCGTTTTCCCATTACGTACTGCCTGCCTTCTGTTCAATGTACTGCAATCTGTAACTAAAACTCTATTACTATTTACTCCTATTACCTTATACCTAGAATTAATCCTTCGCTTCCCCAATCTGAAAGATTCCTGTTACAAGGACAATAAAGTATGTCTATGCGTGGCCAATTGCTCTATCCATCAAATAAAGCATGTACCATTATTGGATTTTAGAAATTTGCCAGTAAATATCAGAACGAAGCCTTTATCTTATTATGTTTATTACAGACCAGACTTTGCAGACCTCCTGCGATCAGTTAGAGGAACATGAAATGTTGTAACCGCTTCATTGCGCATGATTCTGTCCGTATCAGTGGTCTCGTAGGGAGAGCGAGCTTGTATATATTCTATTTATCAGCGCAACAACCATGCAGTACCTTAATTATATTGCAGAAATGGAAAGCTCCTTGGTGGTCATAAAGCATATAAATCACAAATGTTGACTTTAATTGCACGGCAAATAATAATTGGACCTGCAGATCTATATCTGCGTAATTGATAAAAATTAATAGATCACTCCTTGCAGAGCCACTGTTTGCATTTTCAGCTATTGCAGGCGATAAGTTAACTATGACATTTTTATCGCAATTTCACCTTAGCTGAATCCTGTGTAATAAATGGTACCATCATATAAACCTCCAAACGTAGGCAGGTAAGCACGTAGAATCTTAATACTGCAATGGCAATGCGATGAAATGGAAAGAGCGTGCAACGGATACGGTCTATATTCACTGAATCCCAATCCTTTGTAAAATTGGTGCACGTAACATAACTCGCGTTGCCATTTTGCTTCCCCACTACTGCTACTGATGACATCTTTATATGTCTTGATTAATTCTTACATTAGTGAAATTACCCACCAGTTTGTCTCATTTGCTACGCAGGGTTCGTTAGAAAGGTACAATTAATTACCATTGCCACGGTCTCTTTTACATGTGCACGCCGTACAGTCCCTGTAATAAATGCATTCCAGATGCCCTTGGCGTAGTTAGGAAGAAGGTTGTCTGAGGTCGTCGATACATTTTATCTCCGCCCATTGTTTCATCATCCATTATACCTTATATCAGAAGAGAACAGAGTGCTACACATTCGGTGAGCCATTTGCGACCCAAGCCTTTGAAAGGCAGTAAAAGATGAATAGCCACTGACAACTTCCTTTGCATTCGGCCTCTTAACATGCAAGGAATGATGCCCGGTAAGTTTTGAAAATTTGCGATGCTCAATTTCAAAGTAACAAACTCCGTTTTGTAATTTTGGAAAGTGGATATCCTATTAAAGAGATTCTAGATTCTAGTCTTGACGAAGGGACCTTTGTTGACATCGTGAGCGTTTATATGCATCCATCCAGGTTGCAAGCGACTCAGCGCAATGTTATCATCATTGAAGAATGGGAGCACTTCGAAAGCGAAAAATCAGTAGGCAGATAAGGTAGTGAGCATTATGGAACGCTAGTGAGTTGAAATGACTCTGCGAAGATGCTCTGATAAAATACGCATGACGACATTATCGATAACAGCGAGGGAAAGGAACGCAGCATCTACGTATCAAATGTCGTTGCCGACGTGCTTTGAAACGAGCGATGGTTGAAAATTTACACACATGTCTTGAGTGGTCCACAGTTAACACCAGATACTATCCTTCTAATGCAGCAAAGAATGGCCTCAGTAAGAACTTGCAATGGTAGCTGATTTTTCAGCTGAAACTATTTCGGCAGGAATTCATCTGATGGAGTTTTCCTTAAGGCAAAACATACATTAGGTTGTACATCATTAAATGTGCCTCTGGTAGCTAAGGTGTGTAATACCCTAAAGGCAGCATTTATGAGTGTTTGCCAGAGCACGCGAGACATACGCCTGGGCTACATCCATTAATGTAAAATCTTGGAACCACTCCCGAGATATAAATAGAAAGATGTAAAAGGTCAGACCATATGGCATCAGGCAGGTACGTTGCTCTAGCCAGCTGCAGGGAGCGTACATGGTGCGACCTAGACTTTTTGGCAGCCAGTGTGCATTAAGTACATCGCTTTTTAAGTGGCTTTCATTGATATCAGGTTGAATATGATTAATATCTAGCCAACACCAGCAAAAAATGTGACTTTTGGTAATATTCAAGTGTTCTTTAGAAAATACCTGTAATATTCTGAAATACTTCAGCTTATTTTTGTGATAACTTCCGTGATGGCAAAGTTTAAGCAATAAGCTTTCTCAACGTCATGAGTTAAAATGAAATCTTGCTGTAATAGCTGAAATAACTCACTTTTATGCGTGGACCAAAATCACCATCCAAGGCTAAGAAAATGCACCGATATGTCTGTGTGAATTAGCCTCTGAGGTATTAATGCCTCGCGCGCATGACAGTGCATGACTAAGCATGATTAGTGTTGGCAGGATGTCTTTACATTTGGTTCAGATAACTTGACCGATAAGAGTTACGGGCGGTGCAGCCCACATCCTTCGACATCTGGAAGTACGATCGATACTTTATCAAATGAGCCAGGACTCTCTCCGTCGTTAATCACATTCACTAAGAGTATCACATGTATATACACTTGTACATGATTGATAGATAAGTAACATGTTTCATTGGCGTTACATTTAGATTGTCAGCCATGAGATGGGAATGGAGAATAGTAACGATGTATCAGTTTAAAAGAAGTGCGTTTTTTTCCAATGGCGATGGTTGAACAATTTAAATTTGTTTTATTGAATCACAAATGCTCAACACTGTTAACATTTATGTACATGTTCTTCTGTTCAAACATTCAAGCATGGTGTTGAGGTTAACTTCTTAATTTGATACACGCAAGATTATACAAGCTATGATTCTTTGATTTGCTAACTTTCTTCGTTATCATTTCAAGTGACCACCATATTATATGCATATCTTAATTAGCATATTGGGTTTTACATTTATCAAAAGGCTGAGAATCACTCCTTCACTTCTGTCCGTGTCAACGGTTCGGTGCTGCAGTCAGTCGGTAACCGTCCAACCGGCTCCAGGATCACATCTTTGTCGGTCGGCAGTACCAGGATCCGGCCTCGGTCATCGTCGGCCTTTTCCGTCGATCCACACACCGAATTCAGCTCAATATGACTGGCTTTACCGTCCGAGCTCGAGTTGTTGGAAGATAAGGAATTTTCCCAATTTTTCCGCGCCTGCCAACTTCTCCGGGGCTTCTTTTTACACATCTTACCGAAGTTCTTGGTGTAGTAGCCGCATATGAACGGATTGATCAAGCTATTACTGAAGGCAGTCCACAGGGCGATGGGGTAGATATAACCTTTCACTTTTTCTTTCAGAAACCAGGAATAGTCCCCGTACGCCTCCAAAGTCCAGCTGACATATAGCGGCAGCCACAGAAAACAGAAGATGGCGACGATGATCTTTAGCATGCGGAAATACTTGGTCCCCTTCTGTCTCGCTGGAGAGGCACTCGGCGACTGGCTGCGTTCGATAACGACTCCTGGCTGCTCTCTGGATGCGCAGCACGTGTTAATCCCAACAGTCACCCACAGGTATCCGATGACAAAAAACGGCCCGAGAAAGCACAGTGCAAACAGAAAACCCTTGTAAACCATTTTAAGCTGCGAGGAAGGCCAAGTATCGGTACAAGTAAGTTTACCTCCTAGTTCCGGATCTGGTTCAATAGTTCTTCTCACCACGAGTTCAGGTGAGGAAAAGAGGATGGCCACGACCCACATGGCAATGGACACGACGAGAACTGTGGTCCCTGATATCTCCATTTGCTGCTGGTGTTCCCTCCACCTGTACCTGCAAGATATTACACATAATGATTTCTGGAATAAGCTATGATATCAGCTAATGCATGATAAATTGAATGAGCAATCACGTTCAAGACCTTTGACATCAATATCACATAACTGCACTTACCAACAGACTGACTAGTCTGTTATACTTTCTCATGTTCCATTCCAACCGAAGGAACTATTTCAATTGCAGTTCACTGTGTTTAGATTTTTCGAGCGGTGCCTTTGAAAGTATATCAAATATAGACATAATGATGACAAATGGGTTGAAGAAGCCGAGGCATTTTGGGCCCACCCTATACAGGTAACACTATTTTCTTTGTTATCTATACAAAGTATGGGTGGTGCAGTCTCAAAAGAAATCGATAGCCTGTGATTAATACGAAGCTGCTGCTGCAAGGCGAGCTCATTCAATATATGAATTCAAGCGAAGTCCGGTCGCAACAAAAGAGTCGTAGATTACCCGCCACTTTTGCCGCAGCCTGTCTATAAACGGATTATGTGCATCGTTGTTCGGGACATTTTCCTCGTAAAATGTTGGTACCGGAGAAAAAAGCTTTCATCAGAGCTAAATTATCAAGAAATCTATATATAAAAGCAATTAATACTGAGAAAATCTAACCCGCACTTGGTTCTCAGAAGAGGTTATCATATGACCATTGTTTTTTCGACAAGGCATGATTTTAATTTCCGCTCACAATTGCTCTTGTCCTTTTTAGGACAGTGCAGCTAAATTACAGTCTGTTATTTTCCGACGCTAGGCATGTCTTACTAAGAAGCTGCACGGAATACTGACATAACGTTTACGCCGAGGGTTCCAGAAGGTATCACATGTTATCTCAATCCTTGTATTCAATTTTCTGTTTTTGCCCTTTAGTGGATTTTCCTGAAAAACAACTCTCAAGAGTCTTCTGTCAAAAAGCGTGGAAAAGTTGGAAATAACCCATCAGGAGTTGGAAGAATTTATTTTTAATAGTATTTTATTAAAACATACGTTATTAGCTTTAAGTGGAGATAGTAAGTTAGATTGAGTAGATCGTATAACTTCATGTTAGCATATAGTTTTATACAACTCCTCAATACATTCTGTACTCATTGGTCTTATCAATGTCTGTTTGAAATTAGTCCTTCCTCTGGCATGAATTTGCAATAAAGAACTATATTAAGGCCATTTATTTACAAAACTCGCATGGCAACTGCCAGGCATTCCAGGTTATGGGGACGATGGACGAGTCTACTCTTTCACAGGGATTTATTGTCTTTGGTCTTTCGGTCTTCATGTTTCATTTTACAGTCACGGTCCCGGTGAGATGCCAGAAATGTTTGCGATGATTGATGAACTAACATTTAAACTAGACGTACGAGAAACTCCTACACTGAATGCATCTTGCCATGAGGTAGTGGAATCTTCTTGACTGGAAAACGAATAGGGAAAGTCGGTTTGCACTGTCGTCACTGCTCTTTGCCGCTTGAATATTGGCCAAAGTAATATTGTTCGTGATACGGTTCGGGAGACCCCAAAAATATCAATTTAAAAGCTAACTGGGGCAGCCTCATGTCATAAGTCCTGCCTTAGGCGGCAGAGGATATGAAGTTGTTTGCTGTGCAATATTACTGATTCTTTTACTGTAACTTTCTGTTGACAAAATATTTCCGGGTACTTAATTTCAAATAAGTTAGAGGGCTTGAAGAAGCACGTCGTTTCAGAGCATCAAAGGTCCAAAGGTGTGAAATTGAGGCTATGGCCTTTTCACCGGCAGCCCAAGGCAGAGAAAATGGACAGGAGGAAAGTTTATGATCGGCATCTCCCACTTTGTGCCTTTCTTTATTGCCCCACTAGAAGTCAAAGGTGGCAAAGCTGCTGGATATTAACTTTGCGGACCTTCATAATTCAGGGAATACAGGGCAGTTGGCACAAAGGCCTGGCAATTTCTTTTTGTGGTTCTATACCATAGCAAGCCTTTAGCTTTGCCCGCATTTTATTATTAAAGTTTCATCTTTGTGTCATGTATTCAATCATATACTTGCAACCCTCCAGAAAGTTAAAAAATCATATATATATATATCATGTGTTATATATATCGACAAGGTTTAAAAATTCGACTTTCATAATCTAACGTTGTTGTTCTATCGCTTTATATTCTAACTGCAGAAAAAGATCAATAGTTTTTCTGTTGAAATGCTTTAGGGCATTGCTCGCTTGGCAGTTGTACAGAATGTTATATCTGAACTTGTACGTTCTTATGAGGATAATAAGATTACCTAAATGTTCCATGAAAAATAGATTACTTGGAGATTGCAAAGAAAATGTGCCGAATGTTCCCTTAGATACACAAATGGACTATAAAGTTATATTATTACACAGAAAAGCAATTGGGAAAACACATATTGGATGATGTTTGGGGCCAATAGATAAACAGATGCTACCACAGGTAAAATAGCTGAGATGGGATAATACTCGTAGCAAGATACTGGAGAGCAGGCAACATGCGTTTCTATTGCTCATGGGAGAATCCACGTTTGGCGTAATATTACTATATCATTACAAACAGCTTAAGCAAATACATAAAACTACATCTGACTAAGAAACGAAGGACTTTTATTGACTTCTCGATGATTTATGAGACATGTGATTCAGTGGGCAACGCCTCCTTCCCCCTTATGTCCTGTTTTCAGTTCTGCGTTGCGAACACTCTGGTACGCCTTATTAGGGAAGGAAAGTGAGTGCTTCGTAGTCGTCAATTGCAATTGATTCCCATTAGCCCTGCATTCACTTCATGTCGAAATCCATCGTGATTCAAAGTGACATAGGCTTTCACTCAGAACATTTGAAACGGTACCCATTCCCCCAGGGGCCCTTTGGGGCCGTCGTAAAATATTGCAGTAAGGTTATTTGACAGCACAAAAATATGATTGAAATGGTGGCACACACACTAGGCAGATTCCAACAAAATTTACCTATATTAACGTCGCAATGTGAGTAAGTGAAGAATGTGTCGGGTACCTCAGAATGGCGACCGTTGTTAGTGTAAACACGGAACAACAGACTGCGATGCCTTGCACCGTTGACGTCATCTTGCACATTAGATCAGCAAGCCCGCCGTCTGTGGGACGTGACAGAACCAATTGATGAATGTGTGCAAAACTAATTTCAACGCTATAATGAGTATTGGTAGCCGGCATATTAGACCGTACTTTGTTCAGGGCTAGCCGTCTGCAGAGGTTGGAATGAGTGGGGCAACCATACGGACGTTAACTAAGCACCTGTATAAATGTCACTGATGGTGACAGATCGTGTTGACACTTTAGATTAGGCCCCTGGTTCAAGCTTTCAAAGAAGACATAATTTCATCATGTAAAGTAAATAAAAAAACTCGCTTGGGGAAACTGAGTGGATTTTCCCAATTATATCTTTATTACCCTGTAATTTTGCGACCCATGCGATATGTTTCTATGTATTTCTATACCCATAGGATGCGTTTAAAAGCACACAGCCAATTGGCGTGATTACGTAAGGCACGGTGTGCCTGATAAGCAAGTCTGCTGATGCACCATGTTCGCTGATGATCACTCGCCCTGACAGAGAGGAAATTGCATTTCCATGTACGTTTTACGTCCAGCATCGAGCTCTATTCATCGTTCTTACATGTCGCAATATTTTATCCACACCGGCTTTGTTTCTCCGATACAGAAGCATTTCAATACGTTTCCCTAAATACCAGTGGTCACGCTAATGGTAACGACAATAGCGGGCCTTACCTGTGAGGAGGTCCTGTATTAGCGTGAATGGTACGCAGAATATCCCTACTAAAAGGTCGCACATGACCAGGTTGAAAATGAAACAACAGGCCCGGGTCCCTCCGTTCTTCGATATTTTCAATACCATAATTACCACTGCAACATTGCCAACGATGCTCAGGAGAAATACAGCGCAGTAAGCGGCGAGGTAGAGCGACGTTACGTAGATCTGGTGCGAGCCACGAAAAGTGCCGTTCGAAGACGTCTCGTTCCACGTAGCCGACAGAGACAGGGCTGCCGAAGAGTTTGCTTCTACCATATCTATTTCGCTTGGCGACTTTTCGCCACGGTGACAAAGTAGCTTACTCACTGCACGTTCCCACAAGCCGTGTGGCCGCCGCGCCGGTACCTGTCCCGGGTGTGGTGATGACGAATCGCCGCGAGGTTACCGAAGAAATACCCCTCCTCGTTTGGGCCAGCAAAGCTTCACTCCAAGTAATTGCCTCCTGGACAAGGCCCTCATTTGCGTACGCAAGACATGTCCCTCATCCCCAATGGCAGTCCCAGCCGGCAGCGGCGGAAAGACGCGCGCGGCAAAGGAAACGATCCGATGCCACGACAAAAATAAAGCAGGAAATATCACTACATAAATATCTACCCCGAAAAGGGCAGCGACGGGGCGGACGCAAAGCTCCTCGCGGCTTTTTATCCTCTCCTGTTTCTGATAGGTCTTTGCTGAAACATCTCTGAAGAAGAGCTCGGCTCGGCAGACTTACACGCGGTGCAGACGCTGGAGTTCTGGCATAAAATGAAGGGTTTACCGCATGCACTTGTCGGGCATTTTCAATGCCCCTTTCCGATAAATGCTGCACGTGCGATGAATATCAATTCACCCTGCTAGAGCCGCAGTTTGCAGATGGCAGAGTTTTTCGAGCAGCTGCTGCTTTCTTGTTAATTACATACGTGTATTATTCCCATCACGATACTTGTTACTTGCTTGTATTGAATGCAATAAAACATGTAAATCATCAATTTCTTCGATAAACTGTTCGCTTATCATAACATTTGTTTACTATCAATTACGAAGTACAGTCGAACATGTCTGAGGCCTCCACTTAAGGGGCTAAGTAAATTTTATAGACAAGTGGTCTGGATAGAAAAGTTACCACTAGACTTGGGCTAAGAGGAGGTTTTCTCCATGGCATGTCTAATGTGAGATTGACAGTATTCTCAGGGACTAGTAAAAATTGTCTAGATCGCGTCAAGGAGTGATAACTTATCAAATGGACACCAAAGAGTGCTTGTCGCGTACATGTAAGGCCCGGTTTCCATTGGATAGCGATCCGTGATTTTATAATTGGATTATGATACAAGATACATAAGTATAGTTTAAAAGAGAATAAAATATTGTTCTTTGTCTATAAAACTTTTGCCAAGAGACCTGCCAGATATATGGTCGCTCAACGCTCGCAGTCTCTAGGTAAGTTAAAGTAGTTTAAGTCAACTGGTCATCCTTAATGCTCTATGGGAAACTTTCAACGTGGGTCCCTTACCGTTGGCAAGTTTGACTGTACTTAAAACTGTTTTACAAGCTAATGATAGGCGTATTAGCACCTGAACCTAGTTTTATACATGTGAAATATTTTCTTTTATACAATCATCATCTATAGAGCTGTCCACAGAGGGTACAAAATTGTTCACGGTTACATATTTACGATGAGAGTAGCTCTATGCGGCACCCAGACTAATTCCACTGTAGTATGTGATAAACACAGTTATAGCGCCTGGTCAGAATTAACCTCCAGAAGTCACAAAAAGACTTTTATACGTCCTTTACGTTCGGAATTAGCAACCCTCCCTTCCCGGGCGTCATCACCACGTCGTTAACACCAGACGTGCTGAAAGCGTTAATGATGGAAAACTGCCGCGTGAGGTCGGAGGGAAGCTGAAACTGTCTCGCTGGTATAACCACCGTCTAAGCGCCGGGTCCGGGCTCGTTCATTAGAACCTGCGCGCAGCTCCGGTAATAAAACACGGCAATAGCCCACCACGCCAGCCTGGCTCTAATACCTCGGCTAATGACAATGGCGACCTTGAATCCCCGTAGGAAGGCAGCAACATTCCAGCTGGTCCCTGCAATCGGGATTGGGGCAATCGAGGACGGACGTAAAGGATAAGAAATTGATCTATATAATCAAACTCCCGGGTCGACCAATTCTTTTGAGGTTACGCATATAGCTAGATGAATAGATAGGAACATAGATATCGGCGTTTAGATTTGCACGTCATCACTATATAGGCACTCATGAATATTTGAAAGTGCATTACATTTCCTCAAACTTAAGATTGCACTTTCAACGTTCGTTAAAGTCTCGACTCCAAGTAACTATAGTTTGCAAATAAATGCTTATAGCATCAGTAAAACGTGGCTAAAGAATCTCGCTGCAGTAGGTAGGTGTTGATTTTTTACTTTCATTTCTTGGAGTGACGATTTGAACGTCAATATCATCGCCAAGTCATGATGAGAGGCATCCAACAAATTGCCATGATGGGATTTATATGAAGCTCTGAGATACATCTGCAATCACAGATCTAGCTGTATATGATATTATCTGTAAGCCCCTTCCTAGGAGTGGAACTGTCGTTACGACATCGTTATACACACCGAGCGGCGCCGAAAAGTTCCCCTCCCAGACTTGTCAGCTATTGAGATTGGACCTGCAGCTTTTCCAATCCATCCCAGGACATCCGGAGTCTGCTGACCATGAGGTTCAGAACTCACATCGAGTAATGGGCTATGTCGTTTGTTGACCCTTAGGGGACGGAGGAAATTGAATTTCGTCACCCACAACGACCACGCCAGTCTTCGTCGGTTCCGGGAAGTCTCATCATAACATAATGATCCGGTCTGATATTTGAACACGTTATATAGCGTAACTATGCCAACATAAAATCATCATCATGATTATTACTCCAAGTTCTATCAGCTATGCAGTTCGCAACAGATTATTGAACGTTATCAGAAATATGATATAGCACGATGTTCTTAGAATCATCTTATAATATCAGATCTTTCATTATCTACCTCCAATGCTAATATCACATGTCTCTTAAATGTATTAAAGACGTTGAATGTGATAGGTTTTCTTGATTTAGAAAAAGGCTGCAAGAATACATGGCACTAATACATCAATGCCTTAGGGGTATTTCTGTACATATGTATTCATACGCATAGTCACCCGTCCCTCACCCATACGTTCTCTTTACCATATCACCAGTTTATCAATCAATGTAGAGATGGATTTGTGAGCTTGCAAAACATGGACAGTAATTTCTCGTATCGAACAACTTTTAGTACTTCCAGGATTTACGATTCAATTACCCATGGATAGTTTTTTACTATATCACAATGCCTCATGTAGCGGCTCTTATTGGCATGTTGCGCTCAAGGGATCATCTTTCCCGAATATTTTGCAGATATATTGGTTTCAGTGCATCACGTGTGATATCTGCGGAGATGGAATAAGCTCCTGTCTATCCCTCAACGGACGGTAAATTGTCGACGGAAAATACACCATGAATTTTTTACTGAAATTCATTTAAAAGAGGCTCAATTGTTTTATTGCTGCATGCTGTACTAAAGTATGAGCATTGGCTTAATGTAATATAAGTGTAATATAAATATATTGGTAATAATACATATAGCAGTCTTTCTATTATAAGAAAGGTAATCTTGTTAGGTGTAGCATCATGGTCCTTTCATTTAAAAGAGGCCCAATTGTTTTATTGCTGCATGTTGTATTAAAGTATGAGCATTGGTTTAATGCAATATAAATGCAATATGAATATATTGGTGATAATACATGATAGCAGTCTTTCTATTATAAGAAAGGTAATCTTGTTAGGTGTAGCATCATGGTCCTTTCATCATGAATATGGTTCTGCATGATGGCGAGGTCTGATATTATCCAAGATGCCCACTGCATGTCACACACTGGTCAGAAGAATAATTCTCGACCAATCTTTTATATACCTATCAAAAAGTCAACCTGGGGAATAAACGGGAGTATTACCGCCGCAAGGTGCACATACATCTCACTCGGGTGGACGGGCAGGTTAATGAACAGGACAGACTCTGTCAGGCTGCTTCCCCGCGCCCAACACAATCTATGGTGGCCCCAGATTGTCCACTATTTTGTTCCATATCAGATGTCCATTTTATTGGCAGCAGAAGCGATGATATCGCTATCGTCGGCTGCTATTGCAATACGTCAACATCAAGTCCAGGCTTCCCATTAGAGTGCCGCTGAACTGGCGAAACAGAACGACTGAAGGTGGATTTGTGAGCGGGATGGGGCGAACTAACGGTCTGTTTTTAGAAATGACGTATAAATAATTCTACATCTATACGTGTATGCTCGTGCTGGACGGTTGGACTGGTAAATTCGCTGACCAACTCACAAACAGTAGGATAGATATAAAACAGTATTCAAGTAGGTATCTATGCATGCCCTAAATCATACACATACATCTGCTTCATAGACAGATATTAAATTTCTGTAAACGGATGGACTGTTTAATTGTTTTACAAGACACATGCTTCACCATCAAGCAATACTGGAAACTGTTAGCTTTTCTTTAGAATTTTGTATACTTTAACCCTGCAGAATTTCCGGCCATTCTCATTCTTCCCCTTAGCATCCCTGGCTGTAGTTTGAAATGTAGTTCATGGTTTGTAATCATTATGACAGCAAAAGATTCATTAGTCTGTCTTCACCAGTTAATATTACAGCGTCGCATCAGCGTCATTCATCACAACTTCTCGTCCTGCCACGTACCTCCAACATAAAACAGCGCAGACTACAATGTTTTATTGACACAAGGTTAAAACTAAAGCGTTTGCTGCAAAGTGAGGTATAGCGCCATGTACACACCGTAACTTTAACTACTAAGAGATTGTTGATATCCCCTTCTTCAGTTACAAAATAGATGGGTCTGAAATCACGTCCCTCCCACCACAGCATCTCCACATATGAAGCACATGTATGAAGGATTGTCGAGGATACATTCTTAATAACGCTGTAATTGTCAGTAGGCTGAGGGCACGTCTGGGCGGTGTGTGAGCCCGTGTAATAAGACACTCGCTCGTGAGGTGAGGAGCCGGATGATACCAGGGTACATTAACGGTAGCGTCAGGGGATCAGGGGGAGTAAAGCTCGCTGCACCGGCCGGGGGGAAGGATCAGTGTAAATTCGACGAACGTTGCCTTTATGGCTCGACTTGACAACTGCACCCACGCGCACAAATACGCCGTTTGGT